ACAGCTTTTTTCGAATCTAAAATCCGATGTTTCATTCGGTCACAAATATCATTCCAAAATGACGAAAATGAAAGAAATTTGTCAAGAGATAATTAAAGTGACGTCATCAACATATGTTAGCAACTATAGTCTATTGATTTACAGCTGATCTAAGATAATGAATCATGGAGATAATTAATCGATCAATCGAAATCGATCTTTAAGAATGTATCGCTAAGTGAGAATAGATTTTTTCGTCAGTGATGAATTTCATCATGTCGACATAAAAAGCATTCAGGATTTCTCTGAATTCAAGATTTTTCGCGAAGATCCGATTCGAGCTTCGCATTTCGTATTCGAGTGAAACTTGATTACCATCTAGTTCTTTTAATTTTCATCAGTGAATTTTTAATTCAGTCGCCGCCGTCGCATAAGGACTTGCAAATATCAACTGGCGCCGCCACTGGAAAAAATTTTAAAAATTTATAGCAGCCGCCGTCGTCGTTCAACCCTTGGGCTGACACCTCTCTATATATATATCGGCAAGAAAATCAACATTCTGTCACTGATGAAACTAAATAGCAGTGAGCACACAAAAATTACTTAAACAAATTATTTTCTATAAATTCTCTATCAAGATTATAGTTATTGATGTATGTCAGCGACATTGCCACAGTCTGATTGGAAAATTTTGCTAGCGACACTAGATAAAGTCATTATCTATAAATAGATTCCTAGTAATAAATGTTATCATCCATTCATTTTTATTCCTGCATTCATGGAATAAGTTTATGCACCATAGCATCAAATTTCCACTAAGCAAACCAAATATTAATAACACAAGATGTTTACATCTTTCATTTGGCAAGAAACACCTGTTTTTTAAAAATTGGCCAGTTTCCAATCAAAAATTAAGAAAACCGTAGTGTGAAATTCTTCAAAAATATTTTTTCTCATATGAACAAACATTATCTAACTGATCCGCATACATATCTATTAGATAGCATTCGTAACCAAGATACGATAATGTAGTGCCATCTGGAATACAAAAAACAGAGTAACTCACTATATACAATATACAATTGATTCTCTTCTCATTCGTCAATTCATATTCAATACCATCAACATCATAGTTTCAATATAATAACAATCAATTAATCTATTTTAAAATTCTCGAACAATTGATAATGGTATTTCAAGATGAATCAAACATGATTGTTGAAACCGCACCAAAACCAACAAAACTATCATGTTTAGAAAGTAAACCATCATCACAAATTCAACAATGCTTTCATTCATCTTGTTCACATTGTAATGGTAGTTATTTAAAAACAGTCAAATCGGAAATAAAACAAATAACAAACGAATCCGAAGCGTTTAAATCTACATCAACAGATAATAAAAATCTTTCGCCATCTTCATCTTCTTCGAATATACCATTTGAAACTCAACGTTTAAATTTTTATGCAATTATTGACGAATGGAAAAACGATCGTATGGAACACATATCATTTATATATCAAAAGAAAAGAAATCAAATTGATTTAATATGTTCTCAAACATATCATGAATATGAAACATTTAAAATTGAACAAAAAAGTCTATTAAATGAAAATTTATTAACTAACAATCATAATAATAATCAAATATTAATTCCAAATGAAATTGATGAATTAAATCAAAAATTATCGTTAACACGTCATTTACTCGATTATTTTATTCAACCAAAACTACACACTCGAACTTCATATTCGGATCAAGATGATAATGACGACGACGACGACGACGACGATGATGATGATGATGATGATGATGAATCTATAAATTACGAAGATATTTTTAAACATAAACCCATTAATGAATTTTCATTATCAACTGATAATCTTGCTATGGCTTGCTCAAATTCAAATATATTATTACGTGATGGTGCACGTTTATTATTATTTAATGAAAAAGAAAAACTTCATCAATTAGAAATTAAAGTTCAACATCCGGGTGATTTTATTCGAGATGTGTGCTGGTGTGAAGCACTTGGGTATTATCTTGTATTAACACAATATCTTTTATTTATATATGATCCGGAAAAATATCTGTTAACTATTGTCGATAAAGTCAAACCAATTCAACGATCGAAATTTTCTTCATTAACTTGTTCAGATAATATAATGTTTCTCGTTAATGGAAATGGACAATGTGTTGAACGATGGTCTATGGCGAAAAGTTTCAATTGGAAGTTAATTAAACGTATGAATATAGTTTCATTTTCTTATTAAATCTCCTTTCGCTATTTTGCTTTCTCTTTAGGATGGACAGATAAAGATTTTTGTCATGAAAATTTTCGTTTAACATCACGTATTCGTGCTAATCATATTATGCTAGGTAAATTTAGTTTTTCACAAGCAATTTTTTTCTTACGAAACTCAACAGAAACAAAGAAATTCTTTACATATGGATGCTTTTAAATAGTAGATCCACAAGACGATGTTTTCAACTAATGAGACCGTACTTCATTTTCAGAATATTGCTAAAATCGTTTATGAGCTAGTTCAACTAGAAAGCGGATTACAAAAAACAAAACATTTGCCGGAAAGGTTATCTATTAAAAGAAAAAAAAGCACATAACGTCATGAGAAGGGTTTCTCATGATTCTATTTAGAATCAACATATTTGATGACTTATAATCCATTAGAATTCGTTGAAAATTTTAGTGACTGCACATTCTGTCGTACGCTGTACGACTAGAATTTGATTGTTCTATAGAATAAACTATAGCATTTCATTGGATTACTATTGCTATTATTATTATTTGGATAGATCTGATCAAAATAATATACTAACAATAGAAGAGATAAAAACATTCTAAACGGGATTCGTAGAGAAAACAATGTGTTCGAATCAGTGATTCACAAATGCAATAGTAAATAGAAGCTTGGCTTGAATTTCGATTATTATGTAAACATAGAGATTGATCTGAAATGATTCCATAGTAATACGGAGAATCTCACCGATGATGAAAGATTTTGTCGTCATAGTGATAGTTTTTGAAATAGAATGTTTGCCGTAAGTTTTAGAGATTAGTACGATCAATTTTTCACGTCTATTCTTATTTTTATTTATTTTTAGCATTAAATATTTGTGGCTTAAATTTCGGTTACCGTATATGCTTGTATGATTATCATATGAAATTACTTCGACGTATTAACTCAGATTCTAATCTTCATTTATTATCATACATGAGTGGAAATCAATGGATGGCAACCGATTACAAAGAACGATTCTATTTATTCAATGGTGATGAAACGATGAAAACAGTCATGGATTATACTGGCAAAGGTGGCTTCATAAGAAATGTTGCTCGATTAGGTTCGAGCTATGTTGCTGTTAAAGTTCAAACTCGATTACAAGTTTATAAAATATAATTACTAATTCTTGTATTACTTTTCTGTGTCCTGTAGAAGCTTAATTTCTTTTTGTGCAAATCTTTACCACGGTATTTGATATTTTTTTTTCATTTGTCTCCTTACATATTCACATTTCAATTTTGTGTTTTGTGTTTTTTTTTTCGTTGTTAGCATTCTTTTGGACGAGTTTTTGTTTCGTAAAAAAAAAAGAATTTGATAGAATAAATAAATGCGTATGTTCGCTGTACAAGTGAAATAAACAATTACAGTTTTATGTATAATGGAATTTGCACGAGCAAGATCATTAACAATGGTTGGCAGCAACCGTGTTTCTAGTGTAGACAATAACAGTAACAATTTCTCGATTCAATTTCATAGGATTTCATCTTCAAACAAAGAGAAAGAAAATTTCGATTGATTCTCTCTTTTACCTGTAGTTCACTGTAGCAATCATCAATTTACAGTCTTGAAAAAAGAATAAGTAGAAAGGAAAGAGAACAGAGCATGGCAGCAAAGAAATCGGTGTTGGTAGAAACACAAACAGAACTTGTCCTTATTCCCCTTTTTTTCTTCTCTTTCATATCTAAACAATAATAATTCAACTTTGCAACTAGGCAATGAAGAGAGAGAGAGAAAGAGAAGGAGAGAGAGAAAAAAGTATTTCACTGTTAGAATACTGAAAATTCATAAAAGTAGGAAAAAAAAGAGAGCGAGACGCTTTGAGATTGTCACTATGTATACTTATTTTATACGATGATATAATCAAAAACTAAATTATTCATTACAAACTGTTTTAGAATATACTTATTTGCATTTGGTTATAGTTGTATACTAATTATTGTTGCTAACAATAATTATTTTGAATAACAGTACAGGAAAACTAATGATTTATGAAATTTTCTTTACATAATTTCTTTTATATAGATGGCTGATCTTCCAAATGGTGGTGAAGTCGCACCACCGCTCGTCAGTACAAAAAGTAAGTTAAATTTTCGAAAAAATAGCAAACTCTTCCATTTAATTCATTTTGAACAGCTGATGCTCGTGCAAATGGACCTATAGGCTCCGCCGGTACAAGTCAACCTCCGGTTTCCACAACAACTACTGTCACTACAGTAAGATTTTGTTTTCAATATTTTTTCGTATTATTTTCATTGTTATGTGCATATTTTAGACAAAAGCTAAAATAGTTGGTAGTGATCGCCAACAAGAAATTGCACGACAAGCTAAAGCTCTTCGTGATGAACGCCGTGCAACAGTAAAATATTATTTCAATAATAAAACTTTGTTACATGATAATTAATTTAATTTTTATAGCTCGATCCTAGACATGAATATCTTTTCGGACGTGTAAGATAATTAGTAAAGTATTAACTTATATATATTAGAAATAATAATTTTAGCTTGCCGAAGCTATTGGTATTGAACCATCACAAGTTGAAGATCATGTTTTAGGAGATGAAAAAGTGATTCGCTTTTATTTAGTGACACTTTTACAAAACTATTCATTTTATTGTTTTTCTTTCAACAGTTCGATTGTATTGATGATTTTTTTCTTGCTGGAGGACGTCGAGTATTGATGTTTTATTATCAAGAGTCAAAAGTAAAATCTCTTTTTCGTTTCTTTTTCCTATTCTGCTATTTAATTTAATTTAGAATCCTGAAGCAAATCAACCGGTCTATGGTCGTTTAGCAAATGCAGGACCAAAAAAACGTGTCATGATTAGTACCGGTGATGAGTCAGTGGTATGAATGAATCTTTACTTAATATAATAAGTTATGATAGTAATGCGTTTTCTTTTCTGATAGTCACTCACTGGTGTTCTTTATTATTTTGTTCGTCCAAATCAGCCAAAAGCAGTAACACCTGCTAACATTGTCACTGAAGTTGTATTTGGACAATTAGATGCATCAAATGGAAAAATGCTTGAATCTATCGATCAATTATTGGCAAATATGTTAATTCCATTGTTTCAACAATATGAAGTTTGTTTTGAATTTATTTAATTAGAAAGTTTAAATATATATTTTTTCAGGATTGGGGAGCTTTAAAAACTCGTAGTAATATTAATGTGCAAGATTTTCTTGATGCTATGTCTCAATTTACAGCAACTGTGAATGGTGCAAGTGATAATATAGGTAAAATTAAGATGTGAAAACGAGCGCATTTTTGTTTAATGTACACGTATGTATATGTTTTATCTAGCTCATCAAGTAAAATTAGCACCAAGTGATAATGATAGTACATTATCAACACTGGCAACACCAAATGATTATCAAACGATGGCACAAAATGGTGATTTCATAAATGAATGTGAAAAATTAATGGATAAATGGTGTAAACAAATTGAAAAAGTATAGGAGATGACCACGAAAAAAAAACCGATTTCATTATTTTGATTTCTGTTTAATTTTAGATTTTAGCCGAAAGTGAACAAATTCGACGTGAAGCTGATGATGTTGGACGTAAGTGTGACGAATTGAAAACTGTCAAAATATAATAAAATTCATTTTAGCATCTGCTGAACTGATACATTGGAAACAACGAATGGCTACATTTAACAATTTATTAGAACAAATAAAATCTTCTCGATGTCGTGCTGTTGTTGGTGTTCTTCAATCAGCTAAATCAAAATCTATTCATCGTTGGAGAGATTTAGTATGTTTATTTAACGAAATATCTTAATTTAAGTTTTAAATTTTCATTCAATTAGGATGCTCGAATAACTGATGCTGCAAATGAAGCAAAAGATAATGTTCGATATTTATATACACTTGATAAATTTTTCAGTACGCTTGATAAAAATAATCCAGTAAGAGTCATCTACTGAAATTTTACTCATTTTTACATAAAAAAAAACAACATTCGCTTTAGAATGCTATTGCTGAAAATATTCCTAGTTTAATGAATGCCATTCGAATGATACATAGCATTTCACAATATTACAATTCATCTGAACGAATGACATCACTCTTCGTTAAAATTACAAATCAAATGATAAATACATGCAAACGGTATATTAAAAATGGTTGTACTCGTCTTTGGGATATTCCAAAGTAAAGCCAATTTTTTTTTATTTACGAGTATTTTAAGACTTTTTTTCTTGTTTTATTAATTTTGCAGACAAGATCTTATTAGTCACATTCAAGAAAGTAAAAAATTAAATACTGAATATCAAGCGTATTTCCATAAAACCAAAGGAAAATTACAAGAATCAGCAAATGAACGACAATGGAACTTTAGGTATGAAGAAACAATCGAAATTACAGTCCTACCATCTAGATTAAGTTTGAGTTTATAGACCTTGACAATGAAAACATTTGAATTGACTACAATTTTTTCACAATAGAACTGAATGAATTTCAAATTTGACTTCTAACATGATGTTCTTCAATAGCATGCGATAGAAACTAATTATATATATCACTTTTAGGTTTTTACTCTCGAATACTTGCAAGAAATCAGTTAACGAATCCGTTAAAATATTCTTTTTAATATACTGATACAGAAACCTAACAAGTATCCGAATGAGTAAATAGTCGATTTTTACATGCGCAGACAATCGATAGTAAGCTACAAATAAATCAGATAGTCCCATTCTATCCTTCTGAAAAGTGTTCTAGTACTTCGGTACTTTAAATTCGATGTATTCATTTTTCGTCGTCAAGTCTTTCGTATCACTTGCAGATTGGTCAATTGTGAAAATCATTAGTTTACATTCCTTTGAAAGTTTTCTCCCTTTCGATCAAATTACCATTCTTAGTTCGCCTTGTTTTTCAGTTATCTTTTATAGAATGTTTCAATTAACGAATGTAATTATTTCTTTCTAGTGAAAATTATATCTTCGGTAAATTCGATACATTTTGTAAACGTTTGGATCGTATTGTTGACGTTTTAAATACCATTGAAAGTTTAAGTGGTTTACAGAATATTCGCGTTGAAGGTTTAGAACCAATTGTTCTCAAATATCGATCAGTTGTTGATGCAATTAAAAAGAAATCCTACGATTTACTCGATCATCGTAAACCGGATGTAAATTAATTTTTCTTCTTCTCGCCATCATAAGTCTCTTATTTTGAAAATTTAGTTTGATAATGATTATAATGAATTCAAATCGCAAATCGAATATATTCAAGCTCAATTACAATTATTTATTGATTCATGGTTTCGAAAATCCTATACAGTAAGGATTTTAAAAGATAGAACAAAATATATTCTTTGCTTTATTTTTTAGGTTGAGCAGTCTTTATTATTTCTTAATAAATTTCAAGATTTAGAAGGTGTTAAAATTGATTTTGGTGATAAATTTAGTAAATTATTGCAAAACTATAGTAAAGAACTCGATAGTGTACGTAAAATTTATGAGAAAAACAAAGAAGATCCACCATTGTCACGTAATTTACCGCCAACAGCTGGTAGAATTATTTGGGCAAGACAATTATATCAACGTATAAGTGTACCAATTAAATTATTACAAGATAAAATGGATTTATGCCGAACAGACGATGGAAAATTGTTAATAAGAAATTTTAATAAAATTGCTGAAGCGTTACTTCAATATGAAGTTTTATTTTATCGTAACTGGGAACGTAGTATTGATCTAGTTAAAAAAGGCATGGAAGCAACAATCTATATTCGTCATCCAGAAACAAAAGTACGCATGTTTTGCATAGGTTTTTTGATTCATTATTCTTGTTTTCATTTCGCAGGAAGAATATGTTAATTTTGATCCACAAGTACTAGAATTAATTAAAGATGCACAATATTTAGCAAAATTAGGTTTAGAAATACCAGAAAGTGCAACAACATTACTTCGACAAGAAGAACATATTCGACAAACAAGTGTCAGCCTACAAGAATTACTTAACGACATAAAACATGCCTATGCGCTCATTCCAAAAGATATGTCACAATTATTTAAGCCGCATCGTGAAAAAGTCGAAGAAGCATTACGACCTGGTTTTGTTGCCATTACATGGTCGTCATTGACCGTTGGCGAATGTATGTCATCTGTTAT